TATGTTGCACACATTAGATAAAATTTTAGAACTTGTTGTTGAAAGCCAGCTGTTTTTTTTTTATACAGGGGGGAATCTGCTCCCAGACACCTGAGAAGATAACTCAGGGTGTGGGGATGAGAGAAGAAGCACTCCCGACCCACTAAACCTTACCATGTGCTCTAGGCCCTTGCCCTCCCCGGAACTGCCCGAAAGCATTACGTCATGGGAGGGGGCCGGTTGCGCTATGGCGCATCACTAGTGTTGTGTCAGACGTGACACTCGCTACTGCACAGTGAGCAGCTGTGCAGGGCCTTCCTCTTGTTGTTCGCTGTTAGTTGTTCGCCTGAGTTCTAGAGCAGACGTGATAGCCAGCCAACTGTCCACGGCCAAACAGGACAGATGTGACCCCTTACCAGCTGCGTGTGCTAAGCACTTTAAGATCCCGGTGTCACTCCTGCCTTTGCACAACAAGGGTTTTTGCAGGGCTTATCAACCTCCTGGGACGAACTGGATGGGGTTCCAGCGTCCTTACTCTGCGGTAGTTCGTTTAGCCGCAATATCTCCCCCTTGGGTTCGATAATTAACGTTTCCAGGGCACACCACGAGGAGGCGAACTACTTCATGCCCCAAAAGCCAGCTGTTGAAGTATTTAAATAGTAATAGTTTGTTGATACCAGAACAATCGGGATATCGGGTAGGTCATTCTTGTGAAACTGCATTGAATTTGGTATTAGCAAAGTGGAAAAATAACTTGGAGTGTAAAGATACGATTGTTGCTGATTTTTAGGATCTTAAACGCGCTTTTGAAACAATTTCTAGGCCCTTATTGTTGCGATCAATCAAGCGCTTTGGAATTACGAGTACTGCATATAAATGGTTTGAAAGCTTTGTCTGACAGAACTCAACGGACTGTTTTTAATGATTCTGTTTCCAGTCCCGTGGGGAATAACCTTGGAGTGCCCCAGGGAAGTGTATCAGGGCCCCTGTTATGTATTATGTATATTAATGACTTGCGACGTATTTTACGATTTTGCGACATTAATCTTTTTGCAGATGATACTGTGTTATTCATTGCAGCTAAGTATTTAGATGATGCCGTTTTACACATGAATAAAGATTTGCGTTCTCTAAGTAGATCTTCTTCTTCTTCTTCTTCTTCGCATTTCAAGCTCATTGCATGTCGCATATTAGCTTATTGCGTGCTCTCAACTTAGTGTTCTAGATGCACTTCCACAGTTATTAATTGAGAGCTTTCGATGCCTGTACCATTTTTGCATTGGTATAACTGTGTGGCAAGTCCAATCATACTTCTATGCCCAGGGAAGTCGAGAAATTTTCCAACCCGAAAAATTCCTAGACCGAACCGGGAATCGAACCCTGCCACCTCCAGCATGGTCTTGCTTTGTAGCTGTGCCTTTACCGACTGAGCTAAGGGAGGCACCGACTCTAAGTAGATGGTTGAAGTATAAGCAGTTGAAATTGAATACAAGTAAAACTAAATTTATGGTAATTTCGTGGAATCGAGTAAGTCTCTGTTGTAATTGATGATGAGACTATATCGCGTTCGGGAGATTAAAAATCTTGGCGTGATTATTGATGACACCCTTAAGTTCAACTCTCACATTGACAATGTCATCAAGAAAATTGCCAAGAAGTATGGAATTCTATGTCGACTGAAAAACGATTTAATATTGCCAGTAAAATACAGCTATACAAATCAATCATCTCTCCTCATCTAGACTTTTGCCCATCCATTTTATTTCTGGCCAATGAAACACAAATATCGAGATTACAGCGCTTGCAGAATAAAATAATGCGTTTGATTTTAAGATGTAATAGATTCACTTCCTCAACTTTGATGCTAGACGCCTTACAATGGTTGTCGATGAAGCAAAGAATTGTATATTTGACTATGGTGTTCATTTTTAAAGTATTTAACGGTTTGCTGCCTCGATATTTTTGTGATCGAATTGAAAGAGGAAGTAATTTTCATAGATATAATACTAGAAACGCGGTTGAAATAAGAACACCACATTTCTTGACCTGTGCTTCACAAAATTAATTATATTATAAAGGAATAAATGTTTTCAATTCGATGCCTAGACATATCAAACGTTCAGCAACACTTACAGAATTTAAAAGACACTGCATTTCACACGTTAAAACTGTCTTTTGAACAGTTATCCAGTGATTTTTTTTATGAATTGACAAGGCGAAGAATGAACCACGAGCTCGCTGCACTCTACGGCGAACCCAGCATCCAGAAGGTGGCCAAAACCGGAAGGATACGGTGGGCAGGGCATGTTGTATGAATGCCGGACAACAACCCTGCAAAGTTGGTGTTCGCTACTGATCCGGTTGGCACAAGAAGGCGTGGAGCGCAGAGAGCACGATGGGCGGACCAGGTAGATCGTGATCTAGCGAACATTGGGCATGACCGACCGCAAACCAAGTATTGTGGCGTACTATTGTTGATTATGTCTTACACAGTTCCAAAAAGTAGTGTAAATTTATATTCAATATGATGCATATAAATGGAGCGTCACATATCATATACGTTTACATTATATATCATGTAAAGTTCTGAAACATTTCATGCAATGTGTAGCAAATATTGTATACAAAAGCCCATCTTTGTAAACAACATTGTTTGCAAGTTGCTCGGTTGCGTGAATGAATGTTTACATCACAATTAAAATTCAGAACTTTTATCTATGTATCTTAAATGTGATGTTGTACAAATAAATGTAACCTCTCGCTGGCAAGCTCAATGTCTCCCATACTACTTGTCGACGTTTAAGAAGGTGAAGGTGGCGAACCGAGATTACAAACAAAACACGTCCGCAAAGCAGCGGTCCCGAAAGTTGTGTACGAATCTGCTCACAAAGTTCGTCTGTGTCGTCATGGACGACGAAACTTATGTGAAGCAGAGCTTCCGGGACAGGATTTTTATACCGCATCAGGATGAAATTTTCAAAAAACCATCTAACTATCGAAGTTCTCGTCTGGCAGGCCATATGCACGTGCGGTCTAAAAAGTGGCATTTTTATTACTACGGGAACCATCAATCAAGAGATCTACGTCCAGGGATGCCTGGAAAAGTGGCAGCTACCATTCCTAAAGCAACATAATAGACCTGTGCTGTTCTGGCCGGACTTGGCAAGCTGCCACTATGGGGAAAATACAATCGAGTGGAACGATGCGAACAACGTGGTTGTGGTTCCCAAAGACCACAACCCTGCCAACAGCCCAGAACTCCACCCTATCGAACGGTATTGGGCTTTGGTCAAACGGAATCTCAAAAAAAAAAAACTAATAAATCCATGAAAAATGAGCAGCCGTTTAAATCTAACTGACGTTCGGCGGCGAAAAAGATCGATGAGACCACTGTGCAAAATTTAATGGAAAGGGTTAAGCGGAAGGCACGGCAGTTTGGATTTGGCAAACCAAAAGAATAAACGAACATTTTTTTCCTTTAAATATATGAATTGAACTAACAAAAGAAAAATAAGAAGATTTTTGTGATATGAATTTTGACTGAAAGAAACGATTTTTTTTGTCGACCAATTTTTGCGCGTTCCAGTCTTTATAAAATTATATAACGTCAGTGAAAAAAAGGTGGATAAACAATAATAATAGCTATAAAAATGGTAGCATAATGTTTGCAAATCTAAATATAGCCCTATGCCTTTTGTAAACGGGAGAAGTTCAGTTATGTTGTAAAGCATATTTTACTATGATACAAATAAATTAACATTCAATTTTGGAATTACAATTACAGCGTTAATTTTTCAATAGATTTTAAATTGAAGACTGATAAAAACAAACTTTCTTTACACCGTTTTTTTTTTTAATTTAGTGAAATGCTTTTTAATAAGGGTAATGCCAAACATTATTCAGCTACCGAAAGTTGATTTACATATTTGAATCCAAATTTTGAATGAATCCTATCCTAGCTGGGTCCGGAATTTTGTATATAGGTCATTCCAGCTCAAGTGGGTACACCACTTGTGGTCGATGTCACCGATTTGAGCCAAACTTGGCCAAAATGCTTATTTTGGAATTCTGAACAAACGCCTTTTTTTTTTTTTTTGCTCTTAAGTGCCTAGATCCATCTGGGCTGCAACCCTGGATTTTGAAGATTTTTAAAAATGTCAGCTTTCAGAAGAGATTACTTCACAACCAAATAAGATATTCATGATCTTAGAACGTCAACTTGAAGGTTTTTTAATGTAAATTTTTATATGTGCATAAACCTTTTGTTTTTGTTATAGCAACTACAGTAAACAGACTGATTACCGGCAGGTATCCAAATTTTCAAGAAATTGGCCAATTTTCAACATGGGTAGGATTTTCTGTTTCTTAATATTTTGGGCTCAAATTTTCACCACACTTTGGAAAACTCTTCTATTTTATGTGTTGGATGAGCCGTGGCCAAAATTTCAGCAATTTCAACTTGAAAACATATCACGATGAGCACTTTCATATATCTGGTACAGTAAAATTTATTATGAAGGCTAGCTTTAGGATACAACCTTTAAAAAGACTGAGTGCTTTCTAATTGAACGGAACCCAATTTAACAAGAAAAACCCCAAAGATGATTGTAATCGTTGTAATCGAATTGATGACGTTTCACGTGTTATCAAGCTAATATGTGTTTCACAACATTAGTTGTAATTTAACAAAGAACTATGCAGCAATTTTTCTTTTCAAAAGATGATTAATTCAATAATCCAGAGTTCTCTGCCGTCTTCCCCTAATGCAAGAAATGAAACCATTATGAATGACAGAGAAACGGCTGCAAAATCATTCCTGTTGAAAATCAAATTACTTTCATGATGTTATTACATTTGATCGACAAAAACCGATGACCGACCATTTTCCTATCTAATTTGCATTTCCTAAACAAGTTGAAATGTTGATAGCTCCCCAAATTTCTAAATAGATTGATATCGATAGCACAGGAGGGATAACATTAATCATCATTGTAACGCCACGCCTGCTTCTCCATTTCCAGTGCCGAGCGGAAAGTACACAATGCTCGCAGATGGATTACTCATCAAAAAGGTATCGAAGAACGACACCGGCGAGTACACGTGCAAAGCGTTTCAGGTTTCATCGTCCGGGAGCAGCTTCAAGGAGAAAACTATCCGGCTCAACATCAAACGTATGTATGCCCTCTGTCTGCCTTAATTGTCATTCAATTAACGTGGAAATTTGACTCTCTCGCTAAACAGACAAGCCCTACTTTCCTAGACATTCGTGGGGAAATGTCACCTATGGCTATGTGGGTGGAGCGGTAAACTTGACCTGCGATGCCGTGGCGGAACCACCAGCCACCTTCACCTGGTCGTCCAATAATAAAAAGTTTTCACACAGAAACCACATCACCTTCAGCGGACAGCATGTTTCCATGCTGCAGGTAAGTGCCTTTGGGTAGCAAGATAGATGTGCTTCTTCTCATGTGCCTTTTTGTGAGAACTATGGGTTCAGTCGGGTAATATTGTTGAAACAATAAGAAAATAATCCAATCGCATTGCTAACTATGATTTTCAATCTCCACAATTGACAAATAGGAAAGCAATCCTATTGTTTCAAAATCGACAGGGCACATTAGAAATAACCGTAAAACACCAGGTGTGAAACTTCCGTTCAAAATCGTACAATATTTGAGTCTCCTTTCATTTAAAACTCCTCCCACAGATTGTAATAAAAAATAGCACCGTTTTCGGCAAGTACAAGTGTGAAGCCAAAAATGAGCTCGGTACAATATCGCGGGAAATTCAACTCAGAGAAGGCACCAAACCAGACCCACCCAGCAGGGTAAGTCACTCTGTCCCTTCCTGGTAATTATAAGTCAGTTCCGTAACAATTTGCGTTTCCCACAGTTCCAACTGCGCGGCGTCAATTCCGACACACTGGACATTGACGTCGGCGCCACGAAGTCACATGACGTCGATCCGGACCACTCGACCATTATTGGCTATCGCTTCGAGCTCATTCCAACTGAAGAGTTTGCCAAGCACCGCAACTGGGAGCGAGCCCATCGACGTGACTTTGACGTCGAGGATGGTGTCACGTACTTGCTGGTGCATCTGACGCCGGATACCCGGTACCTCATCCGGGTGGCAGCACGAAACGCCGCCGGCCTTAGCGATTGGACCGAGGTGAAAGAATTCATCACCCACCCACTGCAGCCCCATGGGATCAATTCCGGTGCTGCCGGACCGGATACTAGCGCTTTCCTCTTCCTTCGACTACTGACTGCCCTGGGCTCCTTACTGCTATCGACGGTGGTGAAATTAAAATTTTAACCATAGAAAGCGGATAGGACTCAGAAGCGGGAGGGAAGCAGCCAATAAAAAATAGAATTTCAATCAAAAGACTACCGGGGAGAAATCGCACGTCGAAAGGAAATTGACGTCACGTACACTCACACATACAGACGCCCACATGCACCACCACATGCTCACAAATCAGACAAGAAGCATTTTGGTTTTACTGTTGCATTGAAATTCATTGCGACGAGAAACGATCAAAGCAGGCGCCCGGTGCGGTGTGCTCAGCAAACGAAGTAGACCACAATTTTGCGCTTTTTATGTTTGTTGTCAAACGGGCAGTCGAAAAAGCAGTTCACTTGGCTTACTGCGACACAGAGGACACAGAAACATTCACAGGAACATACCGGTTAGTCGTTAAGGTGAGGTTAGGTAACACGAATTTTTCTTACCCTACACAGGTACACATAGGTAAAGTTGAATGAAACGGTCAGCAGAAGGTGGAATAGAAAAATATGTTTGAAATACCAGTGAAGAGGAAATCAATGTACGAAAATAGATTTAATCCGGGAAATGAGTTTGTTTTTAAGGTTGCAATCGATTTGTGCGAATGAAGCGTGGCTACTTTTGTTCTCTCTCTCTCTCTCTTCCTAGGATATGTGTTTTCGGTCGAAATGTGCTTTGAAGGAGAAGTTTTGATAAATGTAAGCGCTTGTTCGTGTAGGTAAAGATTGTTGCAGTGAATCTTTGACGAATCTATTTGTGTTAAAGCATGTGCATGATTAGGTTTTGAGGGTGCAGTTGTGGTTCAGTGTTCAAATGTAAGCCCCATGAGGGAAGATTTGCGACATAAATAGCAAGAGATTGCTTTGTATTGAAGCTCTAATTATAAAATATTTTGAGCAACAATTTGAAAAGTCATAGCAGTTTTTTTTTTAAGTTAAAATGAGAAATTGAAGATTTAATGGAATCGCATATCAGTTCCATATGCAGTGTTCGGACAAACTTAAAAACTTAAATCTCAACTCAACTGCGCAAAAATCACTGTTAAGCTTTCAGCTTCATAAATGCATTGCTCTATATTTTGACGTAATTCATTGTTATTACTGTTATTTTTTTCATTAGTGACTGGACAACTAATACATGCATAAGCATGCTATCAATTGACGTTTGAGTGGTTTTGATGAGTTTTAAGCTGGAATGAGTTGTTGGCGTTGTCAGTAAAAGCGCGTGAAAAGCATGAGAATCTCATTCACACGCGAGTTTATTCTCTTAGAGAGACTCTATTAATGATTTTTCGAACAGGGGGTGACCCTGGCGTGATTAACATTCATACCTCTCAGGCCAAAGTCACGAGTTCAAATCTCACCCCCAGACAAGTCACGAATGACCCAAAATCGTTAAAGTTACTGTAATAAAAAATACGAACACTGTTTGTATGGATTTTTGCCAATTTTTACATAACAATCAATTGGCATCTACTTTTATATTATGTGATAAAACTACGGACTTTGATCGTAAAAAAATGTGAAAACAACATCAAGTCAGTTTATCCCATCAAACAAAGTAATCGTATCGCCCAGAAGTCGTGTCACAGTTCTGTTTTTTGAATTACCATATGTTTCGGTAAGCTTAATTGCAACTGATTACAACTCAAAAAAGATATCAATAAATTTGTTAGGATTTATTCAAACAGTTACATGGAAATTACAATTCGTTACTTCGACTGCCATTTTCTTAATGCCTACTTTTTTCCATATGACATTGATATACGATTCGAGGCAGTACAGGTATTCCTCGATACAACGAGCATGACACTTTATTCTTTCATCCTCAATTTCTCGCAAATAACAACTTATTGCTGAAAGATGTACAGGACAGGATAATTGAATGACCAAAAAAGTTTCAATTAAATGTATCATCAACTACAGCGTTCATGGTTTTGGGTCATATAATTAAATTACAATCCATTTTCCACTTTGCAAACACTTCGAGTCGCGTTAGCTGTCAAATTAAGTTGTCCAAAGAACAAAAAATCAATATGTACAAACAGTAAACATTTAGCACGAACCGAACGGCTTACTGGGATGCGTTCTCTTAGTGACATCAAGCAAAACAAAAATTGTGGACCCCACATAAACAATGGCCTCCTGCGCTTTACTACCATTTTTGTCAATGCAAGTGTAATAAAGCTGCTGGTGCTATTAATAAAAACGAACCAAATGTATAAATCATCCTTCGAAAGCGCAAAAACCGGCGATGGAATAAACGGAACAGGATTTCTGGATCATGTTCCTCTCGTTATACTCGCGCTTTGGTACATATTCGATAGAATTATTGCATCATTTTAAGGACCAAAAAAATGCATCGGAATAATATAAATAATAAACAAACGAATACAATATCTCGGGGCACCAAACAGAATGAAATGCGCTTTTTCCTTTTATCGAGCGTCCCTTTTGCTGCAGCCCTACGCTACCTCTACATACTGTTTCAAACACTCCAACTTTTTTTTTTATTGGCCTGCTGAGATCCTCTCATTGCGCGTTATCGTTAGCTGGCTGTTGGCAGTGGTAGAATATATTGAGGAAAAAAAGCTCAGTTTTTCACCATTCCTCACCCAACACTGCAACCGGTTTTCCCATCTTTCCAATTATGTATGCCAGTGTGTGTTGGTGCAAAATGTGAAACTGGAAAGTGAAAAACTAGCACGCAGAGACTGCGGGTGCTGGTGGAACCGTACATACGTACATCATCATCCAATTTAATTTATATTCCAATGCATCACACGCTTCTGCAGCGCCGCACTGCACTGTTGTAGTCGGTCGCTATATGCACGCGTCATTGCTGAACGAAAAATGCAATTTATCATCGTTGCGGATGCACACAGAATCTCGCATGCACCCCAAACGGGTGATGGTGCGGTTTGATGGGAGCGATCCTGAAAGTTTCACAATTTCCCTCCACCACCATCAGTCGCGCTAGTTCTACTTTAGTGTACGTCTTCCTCGCAGGCAGTAGGCACTGATTTCGCGCAATTAGCTCACAGCCTAAGCAATCACAGCAACCATGCAATAAAAAAATAAAAACAAAATTGCATCAATATTGTGAATAGTGGTTTTCAAATTGCGAAGGACGAATGCATACTGCGATTCGGGACCAGTGCACTGCGACGTCATTCGTGTTTTAGATTTTTTTTTGTGTGTATCCTTTATGGCAGCTGTCATCGTCCGTTCGCGTGACGATGACAAAAAATGCCCTCTTTCATGCTTCTCTTTGCTTAATATCAAACCGTAAAAGGATCGGTTCACTTGATGAGCAAAGCTAAATATTTGATGAGAACAGTAGAAGGCAGCAAAGTGCCTCAAACCTGATTTTTATTTCGCGATTCCAATTTCAAACGAGGATAAAGCTAATTCAATTTGTTTCAGGATTGTGATCGGATTTCTGTACTGGTTCATCAACATTTTCATATGAAGTATATTCTGTTTGTTTGATGATCATCTGAGTATCTTCCTCATCTTCATCTATGCTTTTTACGAGCTTCTTTTTCGAGTGTTTTGCAGGCTCTCAACTTAGTGTTCTAAATGCACTTTCACAGTCATTAATTGAGAACTTTTTAGACCAACCAATGCATGCCTACGGAGAAGGAAGTCGAGAAAATTTCCATCCCGAAAGGTTTCCACGACCGAACCGGAAATCAAAACCTGCACCTCTGGCTACTGACTAGGTTATCTGAGGCCCTGAAGTACTCCTACACCGTTCTTTGAGTTAACACTGCTCACTTAAAAATTCAGACACCGTTCCTGGATGCAAAGCAAAATATACACCGGAGATTTCAAGCTGAAACAATGGCAACCTTCATTTTTAATTGTAAATGGATTGTCCGTGATCCAATTAACTGGGTATAAATGACATGAGTCTGAACACCGAACCACAAACACTCGATCGAAAACCCTTCAGCCAGGTGGAAATTAATGTGCCATTTATTACTACGAGGTGCTAAACCAGAGCCAATGTTCAACAAGTGTTGGAAGCTACCAATACTTACATAATTTTTCAACAAAACAGTGGCAAAAAAAAACAACATCACACAATTCAGAGCAAAACCATAAAAATCGTTATTATTTCATAGGCTTTATGTAAAATCGAGCAGCCACTAGTCGGAGCATGCCTGCGTGCATAAATTTATACATCCATCACCCACCTATACTCGAAAAGTTAAATATTCTTCATGTTTATCGGCTCTCACATCGTTAACAGGTAGGTAAATATAGGTTATTAAAATACCACCCTCTATTAAACACCGCAGACTTTTGGGCCATCATAATGACCAATTACTGCTGGTGACTTCCAGAGGTCATTATTAAAAATCAGTTAATTACCATCAGCAAACAAACACCCCACGTATGCCAAGCCAAATCGGGCCTGCCACATAATGGTGGATGTGTAACATCGTAGGCGTGTTAACAATGATTCCAGATTGGTCGTAAATCAATAACAATAAATCGAATTTATACACTACGTTAAGCTGCAACGTTTATTATGTGACTGATTATTTTTAAACAGGGAGGCGGTGAATCAACCATTTTAACTTGATTAGTAGGCTTGGATTTCCGTAGGGTGATGGAAAACTGTCAGAACACATTAAATCAAACTTATACAATTCAACTAATCAACTGTGTCAAACTGTCAGCAGTGGAAGAGGAGGTTTTTTATTGTATTCAATTTAAGAACATTAATTTAGAGAACAGGATGTATAGGGGGAACTTTACGAAGAAAAAAAATGCAAATCGATGATAATCTATTGAACTTTAGAGCAACAAAGCTAGTTAAATGACTGTGTATAAAATTTATATCGTACTGTACTAGATTTTAAATAATTTAACGATAAAACATTGTGAAATAAATGAGTAAAATTCAATCCGAAGCAGAACAGTAAAAGCCACAATTTCACGACAACTAACACAACCACATTCTCTACACACATAGACAAAACTCGAAAATAAAGAACCTACATTATCCGTAACAAAAAAAATCAGTTTCTTTGTTTGGCATCCCCGTCTGCTGGACATATCGGTTCGTTTCTAATTGCGCTGACCTTCTACCAGCCGGTTCTGCATCTTATTTCACGCATCACCAATCCTGTCGGGCTCCGCAGTGCACTGCCTAACCAGTTCCTGCAGGATGACAAGCAGAGGAGAGATAAGAAACCTCCCAACAACAAAAAAGAACCACCCGTTCGTTCGTCGTCTGTCAGTAGATCTCGGCTTCCGACCACATTTTCAATTAGAGTCGAGTCAATTCCAACGTCGCCGCACGACTTGTGTTTGCAATTCACCGAACGTACGTGCAAAAATCACTTATCGCAGCAGCTCAATCCTTTTGCTCCATTTCACGGCGTTCGCTCACTCCACTCCGCTCCAGCGGATCTTTCTATGCACATACATATTCAACACCCAGAGCACGCGTGCTTCACCCACTGCTGCGTTCGTCGCTTGCTTCGATTTTCGCTCGAAGAAAACCGAAAAAAGCATAAGTTGAGCAGATCGTTTACTAAGTCCACGATCGCAGCAAGCGCGCGAACGGGGGAAGACAAAAATGACCTTGCACTTGAAACTTTTGAGGCTTGCTTGCTTGGATTAAGAGAAGCACTACTCGTTCACTATTTTGATTGCAAACTTGTTCCCGGCACCTACACTGTTTATTGTTGATAAATAGGTTCGTTCACCCATTCTGCCATATATTTTATAGATCTGGTTTTCATGGCGCATGAATGCAACATTCTGACCATGCTCTACTCATAATATAGCGGTACCTATAGCAAAGCGGTACACTTATAGCGAATTCGTTTTTTATCGTGTGAAACGGAACTTTTCTTCAGAGGTAGATTTTAAAAACAAACGATCAAATAGACGAAAACAAGCAACCCAAATTTTTATCCAGGTTGGAACTGGAAAATTAACGAATTCGCTATTAGACCGCATTTAAATCGCTGGGCTAAACTTAACAGCAGATAGCTTATTAAATTAGCTTGATGATCGAAAGTGTTTATATTTGACAAAGATAGCTAGTTCCAATTTCACAACTGTCATTGAGCTTCATTCAAACATCGGATGATCGAGAACAAAAAAATTATCGTTCATGAAAAATAACTTTCATCCTTCGAGCTGCCATGGCTCTAGTGCAGCGATTCTCAATGTTTATGGGATGTCTTAAAAAACTTATTTGGCCTAAACTAACGATTTATCTTAACATCTAGACTAGATAGAAGGTGTCCGTCTTCGGCAAAGTTATTCAGATGGTCAAGACCTATCCTACGGTAAATAGTTTAGTTCAGAATTTACACAACAACAAGCGCCTTAACTTAACATCTTAACATATGACTTCCCGGCTTGGGCATAGTTGCTCAGATGAATAAGACCTATTTTATGGTAAATTATTTAGTTCAGAGTTCAGTACAGTTCAGTACATTTGAAAATTTTATCGGTTCCTACTACAAATCAAAACAAACTTAACTGTAGCGTGTCAAAAATGTCAGGACAATTATAAACTGTTTTCTTTTCGACTACGATTTTCACACATAATAGATAACAAGACACAGCTACGTGGGCGACACAGTTTTGTATCGTTTGGAATTTTGCTGTTTCCTGGCTAATTACCGCATATATTTGGTATGTTTATAGTATGGAGTCAATAAAAGCAAAAAAGTAGTAGATTCTGTGCCTAGGGGCCCGAATGGAAGCTTGATGTTAGTGGACTTAACAAATATGTTGAGCCTTTAGTTCTTTTAATTCATCGATAATCTATTAACTTCACTCTCTCCGTTTATGAAATGGTGGCCCTGAAAAGGGCCATTTGTTTTTCAAAAGGTATGTATGTATGAATGTTTGTAAGTAGCCACCATCCTAGCTTGGGTCTTGCCCTGCATGCGGCTCCACTCAACAGCAAGATCAAATTCCGTCATCATTCTGAATTCAACATACTGCTGTATGAAGGGCCAAAAAGGGTTGGACGGGCCCGTAAGCAGAGGCACTTACGCGAAACCCGCGGGAATAAGAGAATCTCCTTCCAACAATGTGATCCAACAAAATGAATAATGAAATTCGCAATACATGTTAAGCTTTCCACGGGATGGTTTGTTAAAGAAGAGCGCGTCAAATTCATTGCAACTGTTGGAGTGAAATGTAACTATCTAAAATGACAGTACACATTCCTTCCTAGACTCCGGTTGGCACTCCACTCCATTATCCAGTTACAACTTCAATTATGCCCTGATGCTCCCTCCCCTCCCAGTATTTATTGTAATTTACATTATTATGAATTTATATATAATCATGTAATATATAATGTATATAAAATATGTAGTAGAATGAAAAATATAATAAAAAATAAAGATGTTTTACAAAATACAAATAACCTAGATTATTGGGTCCTATACACAGACTTTTTTGTTTTATGTGCCATGAAATGACATAATGCATAATTGTATGTTTTGAAAATATAATACTGAAGTATTGAATCAATAGACCGAAAATCGAGGTTATTTGGACATGAGACATTATATTTAAAGGATACTACCAAACCGACCATCAAACGCACTGCCCACAAAAGCAGACACGTCCCCTCAAAAATGCAATCGAGAAAAGTACAAGAACAATCCTCAACTGGAACGTACTCACCAAATCAATATATCCGGGAGCGCATTCCCGATGTCGTCGAACGGCAAAAAAAAGGGAACTCGGTGAGAAAATTTGTGATACGGAATTTTCACTGAAAACAACCGCGAATTTCACCATCCAACTGCGAAACACGTTCAGAAGCACTTTTGGTACACTTTCGAATCAATTTCTTTCGAAAAAACTTAATTATTTTTTTATTTTTTGCAAAAATAGTTGCAAGTGAACCAACATCAACACCGATAGTGCCAAGCTCTTTCACGCACCTTGAAACATTATCACTCGCGATGCCACAAATATCTGGTCCGAGAAAAAAAAAATCAAACAACGCAGAAAGCGCCAAATTTTCTGATGCTTGAGGGCCTTTTGTTTTTCAAAAGGTGACCCTGAAAAGAACCGTTTGTTGTTTTTTTCTGGTGTCCATCCAAAGGGTTGTTGAAGTTATTGCTATTATATTTGCTTCAGTGGACGCAAAATGCATAAACGTGCTACCAATTGAGTTCTGCGGGATGGTTTAGAGCTGGATGATTTACGCAATTTTATTCTCTCACGGAGACTCAATGACCCAAAGCTGACAGTGATTTTTCGAACACTGCTATTGGCACTGATTGATGATTCTATGCTGTTATTTCTCTCCATGGTTCAACATTATTTCAATTTTGTGAACCTGTTTTACCCACCATCTAGAGATCTTAAAAACAAATTCTCTAGCGTAGAAATATAGTGGCATTTTGTTTATTTTGCTAAACTACGGTTAAGTAAAAACTCGAGAAGATGCTATTCAATCAAATTGTTTTGGGTACATTTTTTCTGTGACCATTATTATTATTATTATTAAATCTTTATTTTAGTTTTCTGTGACCAGTGTTATATGACATTAAGGTTTACTATTATTTTAAAGGTTAAACAATGACGATTGGGGGAGCCTTAAAAGCTTACTAATTTGAACTAGCAACGATCGTTTGTTTATGCTTTATGTAATGAAATCACATAGCGTCCGGATCACTTAAATTTAAGCATCTCAAACTTATATTAGGTATATGTAGGAATTTCCATCTCTTTGTTGGAAATAAAACACAAATTGTTACTTGGGAGGGCTGGCTAAATTCGCAGGACAAGAGAATTTTAAAACCTCCAGAGAGTTTGAGAAGTTTGAGCAAGTCTGCATTCAGCTGCTGAAGTGCTAATTCTTGACAATATAGCTAAATCACCAAGGCAAGGGTCTTCCCTATAGAGCATGTACAAATATGACGATAAATAAATAAATAATTCATCATTCAAGATTCCATAAGATTTAATTAGTTGAAAAACTTCTTGAACAACCTACAGTCTTGAAAGAATACTTGAATTTTTAAACAGTTAGAGATCCTCAGAACTTGATCATCCTGGAGTCTTGGAAAAATATCTTGAGAACGTTACTAATATTGTCGTCTATATGGAGATCTTATGAATATTTCCTACTGTCTAGGAAGGGTGTATGTCTCAAAGAATATCCTGTAACTTATGAAAAGTTTCCTGAATATCTAAAAAAACTCCGTTAAATTTTACAAAATTTCCTCAACTTCTACGAAGTTCCCTGAATTGATTCCAAATTCCATAATTTTCCATCTTTCGTAATTCTACGAAGATCTCTGAACTTCTTTGCACTAAGACCCTAGATACCTAAAACATGTACAAATATTCATGAACATCTAGAAAGTTCCTTAAAATTTAACGAAGTTTCCAAAATCTCCAAGAAGTTCATGGAGCTTTTTTGAAGTAAGATCTCTGAAAAACGGTAATGAAGATCCCTAAGCTGAAGCGAGGTTCGCTGAAATTCTTAGAAGTTTATTGAACTATTTTTAATAATAATTAATTAATAATCTTCTACAAAATTACCTAAACTTTTTCATAAGTCCTTACACTTAGATGAACTTTTGCGAAGCTCTTCAAAATGCTACGAAATTCACAAAACTTCTACAAAGTTTGCTGTACTTCTACGTTTCTCGTTGATTTTCCACGAAGTCCCACGAACGAAATTTCTTGAATTTGTACGTAATGAGGCTTCAAAAAAGTGCCCAGAAATTATTTAGAGCTTACCGATCAATAATAAGCTTCCCTAAAATAAAATAATGTTCCCTTAACGAAGCTCCTCAAATATAAATCAATGTTCTATTTATACGCAGTTTTCAGAACTTTTCCAAGTTCCTTGTTGCTACGATTTTTTTCTGAAGGTCTATGAAGTTCCCAGAATCCAAGTTTCCTCAATTTCTATTGTGTTCCCTA